GTGTGTGTGTGTGTGTGTTTTCCTGAAAAGGGGGGAGGAGACGGCAGCGTGTGACAGATGCACTTTCCTGACAGCTCCCAGCTCAGCCTAGTGGCTCCCTGCCATTGGCTCAGTGCAATGGAGCGGCAAGGCTGTGCGCTATAATAGCGCCATGCCTGCGAGAGGCAGCAGCTCAGACTCCTTCAGCGAAGCCAGGGAAAGATGCTGCTAATGCCGCTGCCGCCGCCGCCTCCCCTCTTCTTCCTTTGGCTGCTGCCTGCTCTGCGCTGACTGGAAAGAGACTGTGATGAATGCCCGCCGGCTCCTGCTGTAGCTAAGCTTGCCCGGCCTCTTGATCCGGCTCCCCGCCTTGAGAGAGAAAGAGAGAGAAGGGAAGAGAGAGAGTTAGATTGCTGCCTCTGCTATTACCGCCGCTTTTACTTGGGAGACAACAGCCGGAGGGAGAGCAGTACATGCCTCCGTGTATAGCTTGGTTATTCCCCGGATCAACCAGCTCCTTCGCCGCTTCCTGGTCTCAGCCAAGCCGGCCAAGTCCAATCATCTATCTCACCCCGGGCGCCTCGCAGCCTGTGCCTGGTCTGGCGCCTCCGGGGTGTATGGAAACGGCGGCAGCCCGCGAGGCCGCTGCTCCATGGAGTGTTATTACATTGTCATCAGCTCCGCGCATCTCAGCAATGGGCACTTTCGCAACATCAAGGGAGTTTTCCGAGGTCCCCTCAGCAAAAACGGCAACAAAACTCTGGTAAGGTGTTTGTTTCCTCCCCTCCCCTCTGTCTCCCCCCCTTCCCCCAAATTCCCCGCCGCCCCTTTTCGTCCTTTACATCTTCGTCTGGAGTACTCAAGATTCAGCACTCCAGAAAGCTGGACAGTTCAGAGCGGTGCGCTTTCCTAGAGAGAGTCTGGGTCGGTTTCTTGGAGATTTCTTTTCTTTTTTTCTCCTCCCCAAAGCAGAAACCCCCAAAAAGAAGAAGAAAATTGTTAGTTTGTACAGGGGTTTTCCTCTCGGATTATTTCTGTTTCTATACATTCTTTCTAGATGGCACTTTGATTTGGGGGTAAGTGTAGGATAATCCAGTGAACTCTTAAATGGCGTTGAAAGAAACACTTAGTCCCTTCGTACCCTCCTGACTCCTGAAAGGTAGCGTGCTGAACAAGCTGTAGTGAAGCTCTCTGGTGAAGACCTGGCATTCTGGGTTTACTTTGGTGAACATCAACACCGTCCAGTTTGAATTTAAGGGGTCAAGGTATTCGGAGAATAAAGGAAAATAACACAATGAGTTTTGGGCTCAAGAATTATGATGGGTGGAAGTTCAAAACATTCTCCCTCTCCCATGGTTGGTCAGAATTGGCATTGGAAGAATTGGAAGATTTAAAACTGCTTCCGTATTTTCTCACAAGGGAATTATTTCGATGTTTGTTAAAGTGCTTTTAGGACACTGCTTCCACATCCTCTTATCAGGGAGTCATTCTCTATAAACTATGGTGGGACTTCTGAGTGCATGTAATGTAATAAGACTATTGGTCTCACTCTCCTGAGATGGCCTGAAATCAGAATGGAGGGAAGAGAACCCAATTTAAATGGGGTCTGTGTGTGTGGGGCGCTGGGGATGTATTCATGTTGCCAACCAAGTTCTTTGAAGTGTCCAGAACAATTGTAATTAGGGAAATAAATTCTCAAATCTTTTTGTCGCCCCCCCCCCCCCAGTAAAACACTTAGAGAGAAACTTCAATAGAACAGATATAGGGATTAAGTTGTGGACTTCAGAGGGGACAGATAAAACTCAGTAATTAAACACAAGTTTTGCCTTTGAAAGGAACCCAGTTCCATCATCTGCATAAAAACCCAGAGACCCATTGCTGGCCCATTGCTGGCCAGAGGAAACATTATGGAACTTCTATATATATTAGAACTTCCATAATGCTGGTACAGATTTGAAAGTAAGGTAGAACAATTTTGCTTTCTCATCACTTTTTCATTCTGAAAGTTTCTATAAGAACAAACTATACGGAAATGCAATGCATATCTCACTTACAGGAAGATTTCTATAAGATTTACTAGCATTTACTATATAAATACAATGATTAAGAAAGCTTGTGGTAAATTCTAAATATTTGTGAAAAATATTTAAAAGTTTTGTGTGTGTCTGAATGACGTGTATGGTTTTTGGCACCCTAGATATTTCAAATTCTTTCCAGCGATGTTATCTATTTTAAATTATCTTTCACTCATGTATTATCAAAAGGGCAGAAATGAAATCTGTCAGGAGGACTGTGTGTATGTGTATGCATGCACATATGTATTAATTAATTAAAACTAAATGGTACAAAATATGCCAAAATGAGCATTAACTCTTAAGAGAAGCAATGGCAGGAATGATCCAGTATTTATATTCTGCTGCATTTTGTAATACTCTACCTAATTTCATTTAGACTATGCCAAACTTGACCATCTTTAGTATCTCATTCATTCATTATGAAAGTATATGTTTTGTACAATTAATGCAACTCCATCTCTTTATGATGGCTATTATCATACACATAATGGTTAAATAGGAGGCCCCTATAAAGTCAGTGGTAAGTATTTCCTAGTAAATGTTCCAAGGTTAAGATGAACTCAAACTCCAGGTATCTATTGATAAATAGAGGGTGAACTATTGTGACTATTATTATCATTAATTTATATGCAAATTATACTTCATACAATAGTGGAGGTTTATGTCATTAAGCTGACGTGGGTGGATGCTATTCTAAAAGTTATATTTGAATTCTTTTGAAATCTGTACAATGTCACATAGATCACATTCTAAACACATCTATTTTCTTCTGCAAAGCTAATGAAACTTCAATATTCATTTGCTTTGGGCTTGCTTTGGGCATAACTGGGAGCAATTTTATGTTTTAAATATATTTAGCATATCTTTAGAAATGAAATCAGTAATTGAATCCAAGAATATTATTTTTCTGAATGTATCTAGGTTAACGCCTACATTTGACTTTGCGTTGGATTTAAAAACCTTAAAAGTTTATTGAATATGATATAGCAAACTTTTTGAAAGGTAACAGTAGTGAATTAATATAATCTAATATTCTCAAAAAGTAACAGAGAACAAATGTAATTTTATTTCACAAAGTTTGAAAGTGGTTAAAGTTATGGAATGCAGAAAACCTTATAAAGTATGAAGGATTTTCAGTGAGAAGAAATATATAAACTATATAACTTTGAGAACACATTCTTTTTTCTATTTTATATAGTGGAACAAGTTTGGCTTAAAAAAATTAAACCAAAACAAAAAGTAGAAAACCTGCCCAATAAATGAAAACATGAGATATAATTTATTTATTTTTTAAAAAAAATATATGCCTAAATTTGCAAATTAAAATAAGATAAAAGCTTTCTTTGTTGTTTTAGATGATTCATAGTCCATGAGACTTCATTTTAGAAGATACTTATCATTTCATGTGAGGAAGGAAAAAGAATCTCTTGAGACAGTCCTTCTACTAAGGGGTTTGTTTACAAAAACTTTTATTACAAATAATTACAGATTTTAATATGTGCTCTGATCAATATAGAGCACTATTATTTTTAAAAAAATAAAGCATTGTTTAAAGGTAAAATTGAATCAATCTTTGAATCAAGCTCGACTCCCAGTAACCACATCCATGATGTTTCTTTGGCTCCAGTTGCAGTCAAAAATGAAGACTATGATTTGAAATTGTACCCCTAAAATAGACTGATAACCAGCATTAAAAACTCAAAGACAGTTTTAGGAAACACTTTTGTGAGACATGGATTATTTAGACAATTAGCCATTTTTTCAGAGTCTATGACGTAACTTCCATTACTAATGAATTTGGAACTTAGATTTTACCTGAAGGGATTAAGGAATTACATTCCACTGTGCATACATTGTGCAAGTGACTTACTCAAGCAGAAATACTTCATGACATCTGCACAATATAATCAATTCTAAACTGTCAGCATCACAATATTTTTCTGATCAGCATCACAAATCAATACATTGCTAGAAAACATCAATATTGGAAGCACTAGTGTTAGGTTAATGTTTTAAAGAATAGTTTGAAAGGTAAGGAAAGGACTTTCAGTAATTTTAAGTGAAAGTTTTTTCTCCCCCCCCCCACTCCTTTCCTTTCCCGTCTTGTATTTGTGTAATTTATTTCCTTGACCAAAAGGGGCCACTGCTGAGCAGCTTATCCCCTGCTTTTCAGCTCACTTTTTCTTCTTTTAAGCAATGTTGTTATGTATGTTGCGGTTCTTCAGAGTAAGAGATGTAAAGGAATGTGTTTGAATGGCCAAATGGTTCTAGATTTTTTTTTTTAAAAAAAGTAATGTTCAAGTATCCTATAGTATCTTTCCTCCCAATCCTATAGATAGATAGAAAGGCAGATGATCCTGGAACCGATGGGTAAGTCCTGAAAATATAGTAGCAGAGCATTAGATCCAAAGGGTAAAGCAAAATGTGCAAACATAGACATAACTATTTTTGAAAACCATAACGTGAATAACACAAGAATTTCAACTCTCATAAGAAATAGACATGTTTGTATGAAGTGGTTGCAAGGCAGGGAACAAAGAAGCTGGTTGTGTAAGAGATAATACCTATAAGATTAATATGAAAGACATTTGAGGCTAAAAAAAAAATCTGCACTAAAAAAAGCAATTGAGCTGAAAGAAAATACTTAGAAAAAAGAATAAGATGAAAGAAGTCAAATTTCTAACAACTTCATATTATATATGTTTACTCAGAAGTAAATATTGATTTCAATGAGACTTCTTGATAAGTAGGGATAGGTTTGTAGTCTAAAGGAGTATGATATTAAAGAATATTGTATGCAAACTTTGGATGTAGATAGTTTTCTGTTATGAGACTAGAGTTCTGTATTTATGTAACTGAGCAGGAAAGAAGAAGGAATGAATAGAATAGAATTTTTTATTGACCAAGTGGTGGTTGGACACCCAAGGAATTTGTCTTTGGTGCATATGCTCTCAATGTACATAAAGAAGAATAAAATGCATTCATCAAGAATCATGAGATACAACACATAGTGATAGTCATAGGTTACTAATAAGAAATCAAATTGTACTAGGAAACAAATAAAACAACATAAATTTTAAAGATACAAGTAACATGGTTATAGTCATAAGTGGGAAGAGATAGATACTAGGAAGGATGAGAAGAATAATAGTAATATAGTCTTACTAAATAATTTGACAGTGTTGTGGGAATTAGTTGTTTAGCAGAGTGATGGCATTTGGGAAAAAGATGTCCTTGTATAGAGTTGTTCTGGTGTGCAGTGCCCTATAGTGTTGTTTTGAGGGTAGAAGTTGAAACCATTTATGTCCAGGATGTGAGGGCTCTGTAGATATTTTCACAATGTCTTTTTGATTTGTGCAGTATACAGGTCCTCAATGGAAGGCAGGTTGGTAGCAATTGTGTTTTCTGCAGTTCTAATTATCCATTGGAGTCTGTGTCTGTCTTGTTTGGCTGCAGAGCCATACCAGACAGTTATAGAGGTGCAGATGACACTCTGTAATCCCTCTGTAGAAATGAATCAGTTCTGCTCTTTGGGCAGAAGTAACATTGCTATTTACTGTGTCATTATTGACACTGTCTACATATACAGCCAAGATATTGCAATGGAGTTTTGACTGGACAAATGTGCCACGCTCATCATCAAATGGGGGGAAATAGTGAAAATTATCACAAAGGACAGCTTTATTTG